ATGTGTGGTTCCGGTCGATGAGGTGTAGAGGAGCTGAAATGGGTGACTGCGACAGTTAACTGACCGCTTGATAATGCTTGCCTAATTCCTCAGCAACACTCGGAGAACACGTGCGTATTTACGAACAGAATTTCATATTGTGTGTTAGGTGCTCAGCAAATTAAAACAAGCTGTACAATCAGGTCAGATAAAGTGGATAGAAAAGTCAAACACTACATTTCCGTTAAAATTTCACAAATGTGCGTATCGTTTGAACTAAGACTCTATAAATGCCAGCATCAGATTCAAAATAGAACTCCGTGATGCTGTTTACAATTACGTCGACTGGATTTGAATCTAGAACCTGATTTGATGACTGGACTCCAAGTTTCTGCGTCAATGTTTCTGTCAAACGCAACTGTGTCGCTTCGAACTGGGTTTGCTGTTAATGCAGGATTGCTTTTAATTCTTCACCGGTTATAGACATTTTGCGTCGCCCGATCTGTTGTGTACTGACTGTTGCTCAGACTGCTATCGTACCACCAACCTCCGAGCCGAAGGAGAAAACACAATCAAAGTGGCACAGGACAGTATTAGAAAAAAGCGTGTCCTCTTTTTACGGGTTAGCCTTCGTTCGATTTATTGCCTCCGGTGCGTTCTGAACGTTTGGTATAATTCACCAATCAGACTCCTCGGACCGCCCGGTTAACCACGCTGTCCGACCAATCAGAAACGTCGGACCGTCCGGTCGAATACACCGACCGATCATTTTGGCTCGGAGGCTCACCCAGCTGTGGCTTTTTTCCCTTGGCTATTTTCTCCATAAAAATATGATTTTTTCGACCGGATTTTTAGAATTTAACCTTCCTAAAAGCTTCTGAATTTCGAGCTGAAGTGAAAACTGATTATCCAGTAACAACAGAAAAACAGGTTGCGAAAGAGTTGCAAACATTACTGGAAGGTGGATTTACCAGTGATGTCAATTTCCAGTCTGGCAACACCATGCCTCAACTCTATGGCCTCCCTGAGACACATAAGCCTGGAATTCCACTCAGACCTATTTTATCGATGATCAGTTCTTCACAACACAATCTGGCAAAATGGTTGGCACAGTTGAAACTTGTTCAGGATCGTATGTCTAAGCATAACGTCAAGGATAGTTTCGTACTAGTTGAACTAATACGCTACTTGAACATCAAAGATAAATTCTTGCCTTCTACGGACAGAATCATTTTTCACTAACGTGTCACTGTGTGAGACAACCGAATACACTTAACAGTATGTCCAGCAGCTGAATGTTGGCCCACCGTTATCGGAGCTGGAGCATCTGTTCTTTTGCATATCGGACATCGATTTCAGTTTCCAAGGCAAAGCTCATCGACAAATAGACGATCTGGTGACGGGAAATCTCCTGGGGCCTATCCTAGCGGACTTATTCATCACAAAGTTGGAAAACGAGGCGGCACATATCCCAGACTAGTTTACACTATTTAGAAGACACGTTGATGATATACTCATCATAGGACAAGACCGACAACAAGTAACTTCCTCCCTTCGAGTTATGAACACCTTGCACAAGAAAATACATTTCTCACTGGAACAAAGAACAAGACGATCGCCTCTGTAGTGACCATTCACATCCCATTCTCAATGTACCTTTCCTCCTGTGCATCTCATTGTTTTACCACACCAAGGCCAGCACGTGTTTGCTTTCACTTTCCGCACGTTTGCTCACACCTCTGTATCTTTCCCTTGCTCTGCAGGTCTTTACAATACACGTCGTCCTCCGTTTCGTGAATCGCCTCGTTCTCTTCTCGTACGAACGTACTTTGCTATCTATACGTATTAGCTCGGGGTACCGATAACCTAGCCCCTACACCTCGCATTTTAAGAGATTCAAATGACAAGGAGGCAAGACGAAACGACTGCCAGGACCGTAGAGCAGAGGAGCACATGGGGGAGTCAATATCTACACATTTGTAGTTTCATACCACTGAAGTACAAGCGCGGTAGAGTAAAAACACTATTCCATCGAGCATCCCATATTTGCACCGAGGATAGCCTGCAAGCGGAGCTAGACGAACTTCAATCCATTCTCATCGATAAACAACTTCCCTGGCAGTTTTACACTGGAGCAAAAACGGGCAACGTACGACGTCCCTAAGGTCTACATTTACGTTCCCATCAAAGACGACGATATCAGCCTGATTTTCCAAAATCGACTGAAAAATGTGAAAAAACGCACTTATAATGCTATCAACCCAATCGTCTTGTACACAACCACACGTATCCCATTCCACCCATAAGGCAACCCCTACCATTCTCTGCCTAATCAGACATCATTTACCAGTTTTAATGCGAGTGCGGAACATCTTAGGTTGGCAGAATAGATAGGTGGTTGAACACACGGATACAGGAACACACCCCATCCCCGACTGACCGAATCACATGATCAACGATTCGACTCCTGAAACACACACACGCATCGTCCAGCACTAAAACATTCAATAATATTACACCAGTAGCAACCTTCATTCCCTAGGGCACCGAACACAAACAGCTTGCGTCATCCATCGCTCAATATTTGTTGATGACGACTCATGGTCCAGACCCGACAAACCGATTTAAGATCACTTATGCTAACACCTGCCCCCGTCTGCTTAGGTTTGCGGAGTCAGTTATTATCAGGAAATAAAAACCTGTTCAGTGTGTGTGTGTGCAAAAAGAACTGTCAGTCACACTATCACCACCTTGGCAGTGGTAAAAGTGTGATGATTCGTCCCTGTCCTATTCTTGTTTAACCTGATGTACTGTTCAACGATATAAACTAGGTTTCTGCCGTGTTATAGCAGTTGAGATGTAGCGAAATCTGCCTTGGCATAAATCGTGCAAACTGGTTTTGTTGTGCTCTCTTTTCAAACTATCAGGGCAATAAATGTTTCAGATTCAGAAATACCTCGAGGATGCGAGTGCAAGTTACAAGTCCTACCATTTCGGTGTTTAAACAACCCAAGAAACCACTTCACCATCGAGTGCAGCATCACTTTTAGTGTAATTCGTAGGATAGATATTGCCCTTCTGTCAAAGCGCAATCTCGGTCGAGTCGCATGAGGAATGCATCACCAGTGAAAAACACTCAAAGACGTTAGTTCCTGGTGGGTCCAAGCGAGCCGTCTGATATTCTTGAATCCTCAAAGCCGTGATCCCAGTTCGCAATGCACCCGGCTCGGCAATCATATATCCAAACTAGACAGAGTACCATTCTGAAGAAACTCAGAAAGGTGTGGTGTTGGATTGTAAGACGTCTAGACTAGATCCAGAGTATATAGTGACGATGGTTGTACGGAGAAAAGGAACAATCCACGAGGACACTTTCCGTTCATGTTCTTTACAATCAACTCTGAGTCCAACTGTGATATTTCTTTGTCTTACTTGACTGCTTTCGCTTTGCTACTGCATTGGTTAGTCGTCACATAAGCACGTATTCGGTCCTTTCTAGTACCACGATATACTAATAAACCTCTACGACAGCCTCGACTGTTTTTCTCCATCTCGGGTGACGAAACACTAAGAGGCCGCGCGAGTATTTTGATTTTGAATTCTTGCCGACAGGCCCTCACGTCGATCAGGTTCAAGTACTACGACTAAGCGCAAATGAAGCTCCTGGTCAGGGATTACAAGAAGCTAAATTTGGTTAGAGCGTGTGCTAA